TTCCGTCTCAGCCTTCCAAATAGCTGGAACTACAGGTACGCACTACCACACCCAGCTAATTTTTTATTTATTGTGGAGATGAGGTCTCACCAAGTTGCCCAGGTGGGGGTCTCAAACCCTCAGGCTCAGGCAATCCACTCACCTTAGCCTCCCAAAGCGCAGGCTTACAGGCTGAGGCACCGAGCCCAGCTAGCACAAGTGCTTTATGAATACTTACCTTGTCACCCAAACTATTTTTGAAGATCTTTTATTAAAAGGATTTAGTAATAATTTTTACTGTTTCATCATGGACATTCTTAAAAGAAACTGGCTTTTCTAAAACTCCAAGTGTATGCTGGTGGTAAAAGACTCAGGCCAAGGTACAGCCCCTCACACACCAGATTTTACCTATCAGCATAAATGAGGTGCAGTGAAAAGGCAAGTGACATCTTAATATTATTATGACAAAGACCTGGCCTGTGGACTTCCTGCAAGGGTCTCAGGGATCCCTACATTAACAGCTATATTCAGAGATTTCTAGAATAACCAAACCCTAAGATGTTTTCCTTCCCACTTCTTCACTGTATTACCACCAAGTTACTCCTTTTCCTAATCCAAATCTACTCCAACCTACTAATCCTTATTCATTTGCTCTTTTTGTTTTTTCTAAATGAGTAAGACTTGGTTCAGGAGGGCGACTGATGTAGATGAAAAAATACCACCCATGGTGAACACTTCCTTGTCTAACATGATCAGCAATCTGGTTAGGTTAGTATATATGCAATTTTTTTTTTTTGGGAGTCAGAGTTTCACTCTTAAGCTGGAGTACAGTGGCAAGCTCAAGGCTGATGCAGCCTTGACCCGCTGGCTCAGGGGACCCTTCCCCTGGGCTTAGACAATCCTTTCTCCTCCACTTGCCAAAGTGCTGCGATTACAGGCGTGAGCTACTATGCCTGGCTACATATGTACTCTTTTGGTCATCCATGAATTGAACCAACACTCTTAAAGAACATCCAACATGTCAGTCACTCTCCTGGGTGCTAGGGATATAAAAAAACAAAAACAAGGTCCTTTTTCTCATGGAATTCATATTCTGGTTGATGGTAGGAAGAAGAAGACAACAAACAAATACATCAGACAGTGATGAGTGCTAGCTAGGAAAATGAAGTGGTGGATTGGCAACTGAACTGGGTAGGCATTTTAGATCTGTAGGCAGAGGCCTACTTGAGGGGGTGACCTTTAACCCAAAACCTGAGACCAGGAGCTAACCAAGTGCAATGGCAGGAAAGACACTACAAGCCAAAGAACAGCAGGTGCAGAGGTCTTGGTGCAACATGGCAGTATAGAGCAGAGAGAGGGACAAGTTCAGGTCAGAGAAGTGGCTGGGATTAGATCGTGTGGGACCCGAAAGAGCTCGGTAAGGAGTATGGCAGAGAACATGAGGAAGCCTGTAATCCCAGCACTTTGGGAGGCAGGGGCGAGAGGACTGCTTGAACCCAAGGGTTTGAGACCAGCCTGGGCAACTTGGTGAGACCTCATCTCTACAATAAATCAAAAAAATTCACCTGGTGTAATGGCACACCTGTAGTTCCAGCTACTGGAGGGCTGATGAAGAGTGTGACATGAAATGATTAACGTTTGCATGATCTCCTTGGGAGTTGCTGTTCACTGGGTATAGTTTCAGGTTTACAAGATGAAAAAGTTTTAGCAATCTGTTGTTCAACAATGTGCATACAGCTAACACCACTGTATGGTATACTTAAAAGTGGTTGAGATACAAATCGTGTTTTTTACAACCAAAAAAACAGATAGATCTCTTCAGCTGTTGTGAGAAGACAGGATTAAGGGGGTGAAAAAGTTAAAATAGAAAATCCAGTTGAGAAACTACTGCAAGTCCAGGCAAGTCCACTTAGCATGGGCCAAGATAATGGAAGTGGAGACAGAGAACAGCAGACAAACTTAGGATATGTCTGGAGGTCAGTCAACAGGACTTAATGGATCTGTTGTGGATGTTGAGAGAAAAGAAATGAAAAAATAAGTTGTAATAACCTGTGCATTTGAAGTCAAGACAGTGTTTATCGTGGGGACAGGCGGGTCAGAAAGGGAATATGTGAATTTCTGGCAATATTCCATTTCTTAGTTTAAAAAATCTTTTCTATTATTTACCTTAGTTGGCTCTGCTGACATGCTAAGAAAATATTCTATTTCTTGATATGGGTGCAGGCCAGACAGGTATGGTCAACTTGTGAAAATCTATCATGCTACTCACTTATATAAGATATCTACTTTTCAGCATATATTATACTTCAATTAACATTTTTAAGATTTCTACATTTTTGGCTTAAATAAATATTTGACAAGTGTTGCTGTTCTCTGAGATAAGACAGAGAAGATCAGGTTTGGGAGTAGGGAAAAGAGACAACAGTAACAATTGCTCTAGATGTGATCAAGTAGAAGAAAACACTGATCGAGAATAGAACTCTCCCCAAGAAGGGGGGTGGTGGGGAGCCCTAGGCATGAGCACTGCTTACTGAAAAGACAAAAGGCTCACATTTCATGTTTCAGCTGCTTTGTATTTCCTTAGAATGCCTCTGAATGTCATTTTCTTTTTTTTTTTCAAACTGAAACCATTTTTCTTTCATTAATTCCTCAAATGGCTTTATTAGCCCTAGTTGAATTTCTAGTAATTAAAATTTGCAAATTCAGTGTTTCATATCTGATGAAACTGTTTCAAGTATTTCTGAGTTCACCTAATGTTGTATTCCTAAGCTATTAAATAACCCAGAAGATAGTATTTTACTTTGGTACATTTGCTCTGAATACTTGCTCAACAATTCTGTATTTGTAGTAAATATATATTAGATTTTCGTCACTAATACTAAGCTTTTCTTAAGTGAAGCTATCAAACAAAGATACCCTTGCCACTTAGCTTTTAGCAAACTCCACATTCCTTAAAAGGACTGCTACCAAGACGAAAGAAAAACAGTCATCTGAAACTCTACACAGCTCTGGCAGGTAGTAGCCATCCCATTCAGTAACACCTGCTAAGAACTTTAATGACACTAGTTTTGGAAAATTGACAGATTCGATGGGCTGGTTATTAAGCCAATGATCTTCTGGTATACCACTGGTCACTTAGCTAACTGTCTGATTTCTATAACAGAAGCAGATGCAGATGCAGAATCAGGTCAGTGTGTTTAGTGGTGGAAAGTTAAGGAACTCCTGCTCACTGTCTCAACTTCTCTGTTGAGTCTGAGATAAGGTAATGTGCCATGACAAGACCTGAAGGTGAGCTGTCGGGTGTCTGAGGAGAGAGAGAGTATACCATCGCCCTGGACGGTAAGGAAGGGAACATCCTGTAGGATGAGGAGTGCTAGCAGGGGGTGCCCTTCTGACACATGAAGTCAACAGGGTGAAGGGAACTCATCTACACCGCAGTTTTCAACTTCAGTAACATAAAGCTGTTTGAACACAGGCTCAAACTGAGCCCATGGTTCGATTAGGGTCGAGGTTTTTCCAGCAGAAAGGAGAAGAGGGTTCAAAGTGTTCATAAAATTAGGACGAGCGATGGACCAGACTCCAAAATGGAAGGATGATGGGTAGTCAACAGTGTGGGTCAGGAACCTAAAGTCCCAATGGGATCAAAGAGTTATCAAGGTCTCGCAATGTTGCCCAGGTTGGTCTTGAACTCCTGAGCTCAAGTGATCCTCCCACCTCAGTCTTCCATGTAGGTTGGACTACAGGGCACACCACCATGCCTGGCTCTCCACAGTGATTCTGACAAAAATCCTGAAGCAACTTCCAGCTTTATTTTTGGTAACCAATTTTATTTTTTTTTTTGAGTTGGAGTCTCACTCTGTTGCCCAGACTGGAGTGCAGTAGCATGCTCACAGCCATCACAGCCTCAACCTGTTGGGTTCAGGCGATCCTTCTGCCTCAGCCTTCCAAGTAGCTGGAACTACAGGCATGAGCCACTATTCCTGGCTAGGTAACCGATTTTTATACATCATGCATAATGTATCAGCTAAACAGTTTTAAGAGAAAGTTCACATACAAGTACTTACCTCTATTTCTGTAATTTTTTCAGAAGGATTATCAATTAGGAAACGTGCTAGAGTCCCAAGAGTTGTTCTGTAAGTTAGAATAATCGAGTTTTTAGGGTCCTGACACCACTGAATAAAGAGATCCCTTGAAAATCCACATTCCAGGTCAGGTTGGCTGGCAAGCACAACTTTGGGGCTGGGTACCCGAGCCAAGTCAGATAGGCCATGACACAGAGAGAGATGGCGAAACTGAAAGGGGTTATTTCTTTTGTCCTCAAAGCATCTCATCAATTTATCACTCATCCATTCGACCTGGTAGGGGGGAAAAGATGACAATAATTAGATAATACTATATTATAGCTTCAACATATTCTCTAACAGTCAAGGAATTCAAGTTCTATCTCTTTTCAAGTCTTCTACTCACTGGCTGATTAAATTTGTACTATTTAGAAAAGCAGTTTTCTGCTTGTTTCCAGTCTTCCTCCCCAGTTTTCATCCTTAAAAATCCAATTTTACATTACATTTCACTTATAAATCACCTTAAATCTTTCTGAGAAGACCATGTATATAAATATCTAACTTCCAGAGATTCTATTTCAAGGGGAAGAGCTTTTATTCAAAAAACAAACAAACAAACAAACAACAACAAAAAAATAGGGCCCGGCACAGTGGCTCATGCATGTAAACCCAGCACTTTGGGAGGCCAAAGAGGGAGGACCACTTGAGCCTGAGTTTCAGGCCAGCTTGGGCAATACAGCGAGACCTCATTTCTCCAAAAAAAAAAAAAAATTAGCTGGGTATGATGGTGCATGCCTGTAGTCCCAGCTACTCAGGAGGCTGAGGTGGAAGAATATCCTGAGCCTATAAGGTTGTGACTGTGGTGAGTCATAATCACACCACTGCACTCCAACCTGGGCAACAGAGCGAGATACCGACTCAAAAAAGAAAGAAAAGGAAGAAAGGAGGGAGGGAGGGAAACAGTGAATTACAACATTTATACTTTATGAGGTAGGTTCTATTTTTGTTCCCATTTTACAGATTGGGATACTAAGAGTTAGAAGACAACAACAAACCCAGTCTTTAAAATGGGGACAAAAACAGAGACTAATTCATAGGGTCATAAGGATTAAATGAAGTCAAATGTGTCAAGTACACAGAACAGTAAATGTTTAGTGGTTAGCTATTATTAACAACCTCAAAACCCAAAGGGCAATTAAGATACTCTATTCTATAAGCCCAATCACTGCAGCAAACTTCTTTATTACAAACGATAACATGAAAACAAACCTGGGACTTAGAAAACTCCACCACATTATAACTGACATTATTTAGAAGTGCCAATGAGTAAACACCCAATCCCGCATCTTTAGTTCTCCAAATCTGATCAAGAAGTTGAGCAAGTTCCAAAACTCTGCCTGCTGTGTCCACTGCTATTAATACATTTCCATCACCTCGAAGTGTTTCCAGGACATTTGCTAGAAAACAAGAATGTAAAACCCCTATAGAGCATAACAATACTAGCACAACTGTACTAATTAAAGATGACTGGATCTCCCTGCTTGTACTAAAAAAACCAATTTACAAATATGCAATGACTAGCCTAGGTACAAGATAAATTTTGTTCAGGTCATTACAACTACTTTTGATTCTGTTGAATATATCTTCATAGAATGAAAAACAATGTCATTAGCTCTCAATTGTCTTTTCATTGAAAAATCATAAATCAGTAGTCCTCAACACTTCACACATCATGATGCACACAGAAGACGACATGTGCATCACTAGGAAAACTGCAAGACTAGGCCAAATGCAACCAGTCTGGTGTTTCCTGTTTACCACAGTGAACTTCATTATGATGAATTCCCAAACTGATAAACACACAATTACATATATAGTCATCCCTCGGTATCCACGGGGGACTGGTTCCAGGACCTGCCATGGATACCAAAGTCCACAGATACCCAAGTCCCTTGTATCAAATGGCATGATATTTGCACATAACCTACACACATCCTCCCATATACTTTAAATCATCTTTAGATTACTCATAATACCTAATTCCTAAGTAAAGGCTATATATATAGCCGTTACACTGTACTGTTTATTATTTGTATTATTTTTTATTGGTACATGCTATTCTTTTTTTTTTCAAATATGTTCAATGCACAGTTAGTTGGATTCATGGGTATGGATCCCATAGATATGGAGGGTCGGCTGTGTATAATACATATTTTGTATGTATGTATGCCTGGAGCATAAAATATAGATATTATCCTATCATAAGTGCATCTTTGTAGATTTCCTTGCTCTAGATGGAAGTCTGCTTGGAAACATTTGGTAAAACCAAACTTTAGCAAAAACAAACACAGAAAGATAAGCACTGAAGAGCTTATTAAAATTAGCATAATGCAGGATACTAATTACACTTTCTAAGCAGACAGACCAAGGCAGTGGTTGCAAACATGCTTAAAAGTGGAATCCAAGTCTCTCTGCTGAGTCCTCACATCGGTTTCACACAGAATATGCAATGAAGCAACTTGTGGACAGCAGCAGCGGCCTGGAGGGACCTCCTGGACCAGGACTGCACTGGCATGTGCGACACCCAGAACCCATGTGTGGCCTGCTTGCCCCCATTTCTCTCTTTGGTTCACTTTTCTTTTGGAGTGTTTTTCTGGTAGAATAGTATGAAGTCTGTGTCTACAGACGAGACAGTGAGTGTGAGGGAGAGCCAGCTATGTGCTGAGCGGCAAAAGAGAAGCCAACCTTTCTACCCATACCACGAAAGCTCAACTCAGATCAGCTGAAGCATCTTCCTGTCCAAACACTGGTAGGGTCACATGACAGTATTTAAACAACACCAGAGTCAGCCGATCTCTGATCCCCAAGATGTGTGTTAGGCAGAACCAATAGTAAAGCCTCTGCCACACCCTCCATAGCCTAAACACATACGTACTCAGAAGCTGCTCATCTCTCTGCTTCCTTCGTGGCTGCACATATGTCGCATTGAACGAGTCTGTGATGAGGAGGGAGGGCCTGCTCAGCATCTCCAGGGAGCATCCATTCAAGTGGCTGTAACACAGTTTAACAAGAAGAGCATTTTATATTACTCCAAATAAACAGCAATAGCTTCTCTTACATAAAGAATTTATTTCTAAGATGTTTCCCCCTCTAACTATAAAAATATACATGCTCATTGATAAGAAAATTTGGTAAATTCAAAAAAAGTTTGGAGCAGAAAATAAAAATCTTCAGAGTATCATTTCTCAGCAGTAACTGATATATTTTGGTGCATTCTTCTAAGCAATTGCATACGGATTTTAAAAGTTGATATCCTATATACACTTCTATATATTCAGTTCTATATTGTTTTTTTCCCCGTAACATAAAAATGTTTTTTAAACCAAATTTTTAACAATTGTAAAAACGATCTATTGTAGGTATACCGTATTTACTTTATCCTTTTTATTTTAGGTCACTTTCTAGCCCTTATAAATAATCTTTCAAAGAACATTCTTACAAAAAGCTTCCATTGCATTTCTGATTGTTTCTTGAGTTTACATCCCTAGAAATGTTATTTACTGGGATATACACTATTGCTAAAAGGCTTTCCAGAAAGATTTAACCTTTTCCAGAAAGGTTCAACCAGAAAGACCAACTCTCCACACACTTCCCAAAAGAATATCACAACTTAAAAATAATTTTAATGCTATCTAATTTTTAAAAATATTTAGATTTCCTCTTTTTTAGCTTTATGGTGTTTGTTCGTTTTGCAACTGATATATTTTTGATTAATCAATCAATATCTGATCATATATATGTAAGTCTCTGGCCAACTTGTTGCAAGTATTTTCCATAATTTTGACTTTTTATTTTAGTTGATTGTTTCTGATATTTTGAACCTATATGTGATAAAATCTATCAGACTATTCCTTTGTAACTTGGTTCATTATATGTATGCTTACAAAGTATTTTCCAAATCAGGTGTCAGACTCACTAATATGGCCTCATTTTTATTAAATTCTAATCCACCTGAAATTGATTTTGTTGTATGACAGAAAAAATACAAATTGATTTTTTTTCCCTAAATGGCTGAATTCCCCAATATCATTAACCACCCTTCCCTCATTAACCTATGGTTTTAAAAGTCTAAAGCTCAGTTTATTGTCTTAAATGTTTCTTAATATAAAGATCTTGAGGCTACTATACTCCAACACAAAATAATTATAAATTTAATGTACAGATATAACAAAAGAAGCCTATGACTAAACACCAAAAACCTTTTATAGTAATGCTGGAGTACCAAACAAAGTATGTAAACTGTTAACTAGTACTATGTCCCCTTTTAAAGGAACTCTGACTTTAAATATACAGGATAGTTATATTAGATGGTAATTACTGACTTTAAAAAACAAACCCACCCACAAAGTTCCATCAAGCAGCAGACCAAGAGTATATAAAACATAATTTGATATATAAAAATTCATCTCTTGTACATCATCTCCAGGCAGATACCTGTTTTTGTTTTTGTTTTTGAGTTGGAGTCTTTCTCCATCGCCCAGGTTAGCATGCAGTGGCACACTCACGGCCACCCCAGTGTCGAGTTGCTGGACTCTGGTGATCCTCCTGCCTTAGCCTTCCAAGTAGCCGGAACTACAGGTGCGCTACCATGCCCGGCTAATTTTTGATTTATCATAAAGATGAGGTCTCACCAAGTTGCCTGGGCTGGTCTCGAACCTGCGGGCTCAGGCAATCCACTCTCCTCAGCCTCCCAAAGCATGGGAGTCTAGCTCGAGATGCCTGTTTTACAGAGTGCATACTCAGGTGTAAATATTTTAAATCTCGTTTATGTCTTATACCAAGCTTTTTCCCTTACTATGCAAAAAATTAATAATTTTGAAAACATTCACTATTTGATCTTTCAAATTGCTCTAGATTCTGGTTAAGAAAGCAACTTTGTTTCGAATGCTTCCCTTTAAGAATGAAATACCAACTACATTTCCTTTAGCTTGTGTCTTGGTATACCTACATCTCCCTCTTGTGGTTGAAGTCAACTGCATAAACAATTTCTTCTTCTCCATCTTTGACTATTTTCCATATTGTCCCACCTATCATATGACCAGCTGGCAGAGGTGTGATGGACAAGCCATGTCCTTTACCTGTGTCAACAAGATGACAAAAGTCAGATGTTTTTACAATCCTAAAGAAAGGTTATTTATTTCTAAGATATTTTAATAGGTAATACTGTGCATGCAATGATACAAAAATTCAAAAGTAAAAAATTCAAAAGTTAAGAAAAAAAACCAAATTTCACTCTCCCACACCCAGTTACTCCATTTACTCCCTAGAGACAAACAGCCTTAGCATTTTCATACTTATTCTTACAGAAATATTTGTGCTCATAAGTAGAAGGCTAGAGACAGGACTTCAAAGCTAGTATACTATTGAACTACACAGTATAAACTAATATACTTTAATATTTATAGTACCCACACAATTATCAAGTGTTTAAGTCTGGGCTAACCTCTAAACTGACAGAATAATTCAAGTCTCACTATGGTAAAGAATTTAACCTACAGAACAATTCGTATAAGCAAGACTGCTCTACTCAGAAGGCTGAGGCGGAAGGATCGCCGGAGCCCAGCAGGTCGAGGCTGCGGTGGCCGGGAGCGGCCACTGCACTCCAGTCTGGGCGACAGTGAGACTCCAACTCAAAAAAAAAAAAAGACTGCTGAGACCACTGCTACTTCTGGATTAAATCTTCAGAGTCCAGTACTGCACCATTTTTTCAATGCTGGGGCACATTTTTATGAAAAAAGTGCCTGACCTAAATACATAACAAGCTTCTGAATGTCCAAGCCTAGAACTCAGACCCATCTGCCTCGTCTCTTCTGCCCGCTGCACTTAGCCGTCTCAGCCCTGGCGTCTCCTCAGGCTAACTGCGAGAAGGCAAATCTGGCCACGTTACCTTTGCCTTCGCTCATCACACACAACGCATACAAAATGAGTCGCTCCCAAGCTCCGCATGAAAAGGCCGAAGCATTAACATTTTGATAGCATTCAGTCTTAAAGGTTCAAAAATTCAAATGGAAGTTCTGAGTCCCATATCAAGGCACCATATGCTACTTTTTACTACGGATTCTCTTCAGGATTTTTCAGTGAGTTAAGTCCCATTAGCCCAACTGCTCACTACTCCAAATATTTTGTACCTTTCAAATTCACAATCTGAGAGAATTTTAGCTGCTGTATTTTATCAAAGGCTGCATCCACATCATCTAAGGTAAAGAGTGTAAAATCTTCTGTATTGTGTCGAGACTAAAAGAATAACACAAATGAAAGGTTAGAAACAGTCACTGAAGGAGTGTGATGGAAACATTTCCAACTGCTCCAATTACCTGGTAAAGATCATACATGAACATCTGTCCCATCTTATACACAGGGATGGTCGCATAGATAGCGCAGTTCAGACCCAACTTCCCAACAGCGTACGGGAGCGCCCCAAGGTGGAGGGGGTCTGGGTGGGACAGCAGCACGGCATCGATCTGGTGAACGTGCCTGGAACACAACACAGGATTGCTTTCTCGATCTAATTTTTAAGGATAAAGGCAGGGTATTTAACATCATTCACCAACTCCGGACTGAAGATTAAGCTGGGGCAGATAAGCAAAAGAGCTAAGATGATGACACTATGAATTCTGATTATTACTAACTTGGCTTTGCACAGATATCAAAACTGTCGTACAGGTTGCACCTAAATAGATGGCATTTGGGCATTTTTTTTTTTTTTTTTTTGAGTTGAAGTCTCACTCTGTCGCCCAGAATGGAGTGCAGTGGCACGCTCCCGGCCACCACAGCCTCGACCAGCCGGGCTGGCTCCAGCAATCCTTCAGCCTCAGCCTTCCAAGTAGCTGGAACTACAGGTGCACGCTACCATGCCCGGCTAATTTTTTTTATTTATTGTAGAGATGAGGTCTCGCCAAGTTGCCCAGGCGGATCTCAAAACCGTGGGCTCAGGCAATCCACTCACCTCCGCCTCCCAAAGCGCGGGATTACAGGCTGAGCCACCGAGCCCGGCTTGGACATATTTAAAGAAGGAAAAAAAGTAGACACCACAAGTAAGATGACTTTGAATAGCTATCTTGTATTATTATTAACTTAATAAAGCTCAAGAACTCAGCTTGGAATTTCAGAAATTGTTAAGGAGAGGATATTTAAATGGCCAAGTGTCTATTATGAATTTGGATTTTTTTTTTTTTTTTTTTTTTTTTTTTAGTTGGAGTCTCACTCTGTCACCCAGGTTGGAGTGTAGTGGCACACTCATAGCTACTGCAACCTCAACCTGCCGGGCTCAGGTGTTCCTTCTGCCTCAACTTCCAAAGAAGCTGGAACTACAGGGTGTGTGCCACCACACCCAGCTAATTTTTTGATTTATTGTAGAGATGAGGTATTGCCAAGTTGCCCAGGCTGGCCTCAAACCCCTGGGTTCAGGCAATTCTCCTGCCTTGGCCTCCCAAAGTGCTGGGATTAATTACAGGCATAAGCCACCATACCCAGCTATTTTAGATTTCTGCTCCAGCTTTGTAACAGAAATGACTAACAGCATATTCATTACAGTAAACCTTCAATCAATCAGGGAAGCATATGTTCTCATTAACAAAGGAAATTAGCAAGATGGTTTGGGGTTTTTATTTTGGCTTCAAGTTCTAAGTTCTTTAAATATTTAAGTCTCTTTCCTTCTATAACTAGTATAATACTACAAATATTACTGAGCTTTTTAATAAATCGGATGCTTTTGCAATGCATGGTCCTGAGGACCAAGTCACAATGTTTAGCATCAAAAGATACAGAGGTCAGCTAGCAGAATCCAGCTGCAGGACCTTCCCACAGGTGCTTCCTCACCTCAAATGCCTACATACTCTGGCTCTTTCCTAAAATTCACGTGCAAAAATTTCCACTCAACTCCATTAGCCAAGTAACAATTAACTTAGTATTTTGCTGAATTTCAATAAACAAAGTTTGTAAGTCAATTAAAAACTGTACAAGTTAAAACAGTCACTATTTAGCTTTTTGGCATAAGTAAAATTAAGTATTTTACTCTAGACTAAATTAGTGCAAAAAAGTAACACATATAACATCAAAATAGAATTCCAGTATAGAAAAGAGAAGGTAATTTAATAAAAGCCTAGATATATGAAGTGTACTTACTTCCTCAGGGAATCTATAATGTCCATAGAAAAGTGCTCATCCCAGCCACAGTCCAATAGAAATCGAAACTCGTCAACTTGGAGAAGATAGCAAAGGGCTGATTCTTCTTGGACCCCAGAGAGAGTAGTTAATTTGATAATGGATGTCATTCTTTTTGGTCTAGTAAGAACAGTCTAAAAGGTTCTTTCAAGAGAAATAAAACCATAACTAAGCATAAAAGCATAGTCTAACATATATAATAGACAAATTAGCTAAAATTATTCCAAATCTGGAAGTGCACAGAAATTTCATAAACATGGAAAGTAAACATTTTAAGGACCCATTTCTGTCACTGCCAAGTTTATGATGAGTCCTTGTTTACAATGAGTCCTTCAGAGGCTCCCCAGTGGGGTTTAAGGAGAAATGATGGGTCTTGCAATCGGGTAGACCCAGGCTGAGTCACTCCTATGGGATTGGGGCAAGTTAGTAAACTTTCCTCATTTGTGTATGCTGTCTATAAACATTAGTATTAACATATATATAAACAGATGTAGGAGAATTCAGAGGAATGTATACATTACCTAGAATAGAGACCACCACCTCCACATGTCTAGGAACTAACTCATGGACTGAACTAGTGAACTCAACCTCCCAGGGGACGCTGCTCTTCCTCTACCCTGCCCTGTGGTACACAGACTACATGGCATTATGAGAAGTGGTTTATGTGCATCTCTCCTATTAGTTCTCCAGGGCTCCTCAAGTCAGACACCTTAAGAATCTGCTAAAAAGCTATGGACCTCCATTCTCTCCTCTCCCCCAATTCTTAAAACACATGCACACGCACACACCAATCAATACAAGTACACACACACAGAGAAACTCACATCCTTTTCAGGGAGTTTAACATTAAGAATCCTGCAAATGCTAGGCATGGTAGCTCACGCCTGTAATCCCAACACTTTGGGAGGAAGACAGCAGAGTATCGCCTGAGGCCAGGGGCTCGAGACCAGCCTGGGCAACACAGCGAGACCTCATCTCTACATTAAATCAAAAGATTAGCCAGGTATGGTGGCATGTGCCTGTAGTTCCAGCTACTTGGAAGGCTGAGGGGCAAAAATTAACTGAGCCCAGCAGATCGAGGCCGCAGTGGCCCTGAGTGTGCCATTGCACCTCAAGCCTGGGCGACAGAGTGAGACTCTGACTCAAAAACCAAAAGAACCCTGCACCAGAAAGTGAGCAACTGACAACAGGCAGCATCTTATGTTTGCAGCTCCTAAGACAGAACCTGACAAAAGTAGGTGCTCATCATGGATCCCACAGGACTGCACATGGCACACCGAATGCATGTATCTCAGCAAGACATACATGAACACATGGACTGGGGTTAGGACCTAAAACCATATGCTATTAAACAGATGTCATAAAAATACTCACTACAAGGGTCAATTCCTCAGCACCACTTCAGGTTTCAGCTCCTTACCATCAGTCAGCCTTTCCTGGTCAAATGAGGTCACAGAACGGTCTGCTCCTCTCACTGCCTGCTCAGTTCTTAACCCTCTACCCACCTTTCCTAAGGGCTGAGGGGGGCTCAGCCCACCACACCTCCTAACCTCATTTATCTGAGTTACAGCAACTCCCAAGACTCCTGGGCTACCGGTGACTGTGGATGTGGACACCTCTTGATCAGGCCCAGTACCTTACCTCCTGTCCTTCCCCACCCTTCCAGATGTGCCCTGAAACTATGATCACACTCACCTGTAGCTCCAACCACCTCTCTGGAAGCTCTCCTCACCTGCTTGTCCTACGAGTTTCTCCTGCAACCTTCTCAAGATTGTTTCTTTAATCTCTTGTACTCAGTACCTCAAAAGCAGGAAGTATGTGTCCACGCTCCAGATTCCATGTCACCTCACTGCCTGTCCCCCACACTAGCCTGTACACTGTGGCATGATTCAGAGGACTAGCTTGTGACTTGGCTGTCCTCTCAGTAACTTCAATATGGACCCCTCGGTCTGCTGACCCTGACTCCAGTCACCTCTATCTCACAACAGCTGCCTGCCACCAGGCTACACCCAGACCTCATCCTTACCTGTACTCCACAAACCTCTCCCTGCTGGCATCTCTCAGCTTTGCCACCTACTCACTCACCTTCCCCCTGAACGAGTACTCTGGACTCCCTGGCACTCCTCTTGTCCACTGACAGCTTCTTCCCCACCCAGGACTCCTCCGTCTCCACTCAGGTCCTCACCTTCGATCCATCACATATCATGCTTGTCCTGCAAGACTCACACACCACTCCTCCAGTCCCCTGCACCAACCTGGTCAAACCCCAACCCGGCGTTACTCCATTCATCGTGTCTGTCCCGGCAGCTGAGAGTTGCCAGAGGAAAAAACACAATGATGAAAAATACTATTTGCTCTTTAAGTTCATGGCCAAAGACCTCACAGAGGCACCAAGCACGACCCTTCAGTTCAACTCTGAGACCACGATCGCACACCGCCTCTTGTCTGCTCACACACCCACCCACCTGCCTGCCACTGCTCTTAGTTGATCATCTCACCTCACTCTTCAATCAGAAAATAAAGGGAATTATATAGCAACTCCTAGTCGCCCAGATACCAAATCTACTCACCCACCTGCCTGTGCACCGCTGGGTCACCCATGCAAGGCCAGTCCTCTGTGGGGTTGCTGAGCCCACTCATTTACCTTATAAAAGACTTGACATCTTCAGTCGCTCCCTCTGTCCCCTGCATCAGTGGGTTGCAGAGGGACCATCTCATGAGCAGGAAGACACTCATATAAGAACCCTCTCTGGGCTGCGGATAGTGGGCTGCCAGGGTCAGTGAAGGATCTGATGATGGGCAAGTGAAAACTTGCACTAAAAGCACCTGACTGGATAGCTTCTGTGGAGATCACATCCCGAAACCAAAAGACCATTGCTAATTCCCTGGAATCCTGGAAGGAGACCTTCACCTCCAGGCTGGCTTTACTTGAGAATCCACCAACTGTTGACTGCGCTTACTACAAGCCCACTATGGCTAAGGCAGCTTGGTGGATGACTCCGAGAAGTTTAGAAGCCTTGAAGGTTCCTGTGCCAGAGGATAAATACACTGCCCAAGAGATAAACACACTGTCCAGAGAAAAAGATGTGAAAAGCTGTGCTGAGTTTGTGTCTCTCAAAGGCTAGCACTGGAGAATATGAGAAACAGCTGGAAAAGATGAGGCATGTAATTCTGTTTGATCAGATGACCCTGAAGACTTGAATGAAATCTTCCCAGAAACCAAATTAGACAAGTCTCCCGATTGGCCTCCCCAGCCCATTGAGGATTTATAAGACTGAGTCTGGGAGGAAGCTCTGGCTCTTATATTACGCACTCTGAATATTAAAAACAAAAATAATTTTATAGTTTAAAAAACAAAAACCCTCTCTAAACCTAACAACCCCCATAGCCACCACATCATTTGTCTCCCTTTCACAGCAAAATTTCTCAGATCCACATCCACAAATGCATCTCCTAGCCCTCACCTCCCATGAGCATCACCCGAGCTGACAAGCCAGGGAACATCCATGGGCTTGAGAGGCAGGCTCGTCCACCACTCTAGGAAAGCACACCCAGGGACAGGTAATGGCACCAACCCATTACATTCCTCCAACTTCCTTCTGTGTCCATGTCACAAGTTCTCTCATGATTTATTCTCAGAGATGTTCTCTGACCATCCTGAAGTACTCCTTCCTCCTGCTAAACTCTACAGCACCCTACTTACTCAGAGCACGTGGTGCTCTCTATAACTGCTAGCTGCTCACTCACCCACTTGGCTGTCCCCTTCTCTCCCTTCTATTCCCACTAGAATGTAGACTCCATGAAGACCAAGACTGTGTCTATTCCAGTGCTTCACACACAATGGTGGTCAATAAATGTTTCTTTAATGAAGCAATGAGGTATGGCTAGTGTTGAATGACATTATCTATGTGCATCTCCCAGTGCCTGGAGAGCACGCTGAGCCCAGGACAAGGCTGGATCCATTTATGTATCCTTAGTACATTAGCACATGCCCTGTAAATAGTGGCTGTTCAATAAATAATTGCTGGCAGGCTAAAATTTAAAATATATTGGCTTAATATGTTCTTATTTAGGATGTGAGAAGTACAAAGACATGAATTCTCTATTTGATAAAAAATGTTTATAAATACAACTTTGGAAAGGACCTAGGAAAATCTCCCTGCCAAAAAGCTTCCTGTACCACAAGTATATTAGTGGCCTAAGAGACACTCTTTTCTACTCAAATCTTCCTTAATTCCCACTTTCTTCATTTAGACTATGTAGTGAAAACACAAAGTATCTTGCAGCTAGAACCAAATGAGCTATGATAATACTTTTTTGTACACAGACCAAGATTTCAACAGATGAAAAGATATTTTTACCACAATTTCTCATAATATAATAAAGCTATACATCTCTATCTATATCTGTGTGTATATATATTTTGTTTGTTTGTTTTGTTTTGTTTTGTTTTTGAGTCAGGGTCTCACTTTGTCACTCAGGCTGGAGTGCAGTGGCAGTCACGGTTCTCCACAGCCTCGAGCTCCTAGACTCAAGCGATCCTCCAACCTCAGTCTCCCAATTAACTGGGACTACAGGCATGTGCCACAACGCCTGGCTAATTGTTTAATTTTTTGTAGAGACGAGGTCTTGCTACGTTGCCAAGGCTGGTCTCAAGCAAGCCTCCTGCCTTGGTCTCCCAAAGTGCTGGGATTACAAGTATGAGTTGCCATACCCAGTCCATAAAGCTATATCTTTATTAGATATTCATTACTTACTGAAATCTCAGTTGTATATATATGATGAAATACCAAAAAACCAGAGGAGTTCTTCATAAATCTAAAAAACAAACAAAAGTTTCGTGAATGGGGCATAATGACTTAGATCTGTTTATAATCACTGTGTGTAACCTGTGTATTGCCCTAAGGAACCAGGAGCAGCAGCAAACAGTAAAATCAATGGTCCTTTTTAAAAAATGAAATTTGTCATTTTAGGAAGCTTAGGCTTAAAATCATAAAATTTAAGATAAAATCGTAAAAGATATTTTTAAAAGAAACACTTATTACATTTATAATAACTTTGGTTACAAATAGGGACTCAAATATGCAATTTAGGAAATACTTTAAAAATTGACAGTCTGTTACTGAGAATCACAGAAGAGGTGAGACTGAAGATTATTCATTAGAGATTGGTAAGACTCGGGAAGAAAAAGAAATTATTCAAAACAGAGGAATAACATGAGCAAAGGCACAAACAAAAGCATAAGAGTACCAGAGGGAAAACTAGCCCGACCCACTTTCACAAAAATAAACCCTGAAAGAAAAGGCCCAGTGAACAGGGAAGGAGTCAGATCACCAAGGAGGGTCTTGGACACTGGACCTAGCTCTACAGGCAACAGGGAAACACTTTATGATTCAGTGCCAAGGACAAAGATGGCAAGATATGAGGAGCTCTGTATTGTGGGACTATCAGCTGGTGTGCAAATGGATTAGACAAGACAGAACGACAGAATACAGGGAGATAAAAAGATCTGCCACTTAGTTTCTCTGGGCCTCAGCATATCTTACAATTCTGTGCCATCAGTGCCTTGGTCATCTCGTGGCCTAGGCTTGACCCTCTCCATGCAATCCTCCCCTGCCCTTCCTCCTGAATGGCCTGTTCCTAGCTCCTATCTATCCTGCCCTCATGCTTGCACACCTGCCATTCCCTCTTATTCCCACTGTTCGTACCTTCACGCAGCACCTTACCACCTGACCTCTGGGTTTCTCAGGTTCTCTGCCTCCAGCCTTTCCGCCCTTCACTTCAGCCTTAATATTGCTGCCAGACTGACCTTCAGAAACACCCCAACACATGACTGCTTGCTCAGAAATCTCTCAAGGTTTCTTATTGTCTGAGGGAAAAAAAAAACCAAAAAGCAACAACCGAATGCCTTACTGGTGATAGGGGCTGCCAGAAAGACCCAGACATCACCACCCTCAAGGCCTCAAGGCCTAGCTCATGCTCCCATGCTCCACCTCTTCACATACTTCCCATCAGCAGGTCAGTCTGAAAGAGCTCTGTCAACAAAAATAGAATGCAGGCCACAACGGTCATTTTAAATTTCTTCACAGCCATGTTGAAAAGTCAAAAACTGTAATCCCAGTGCTTTGGGAGGCTGAGGTGAGTGGATTGCCTGAGCCCGTGGGTTCAAGACCCGCCTGGGGAACTTGGCGAGACCTCATCTCTATAATAAATCAAAAATTAGCCGGGTGTGGTAGCACTCGCCTGTAGTTCCAGCTACTTGGAAGGCTGAGGCAGAAGGATTGCCGGAGCCCAGCAGGTCAAGGCTGCAGTGAGCGGGAGTGGCCACTGCACTCCAGTCTGGGTAACAGAGTAAGACTCCAACTCAGAAAAAAAAAAGTCAAAAACAGGTGAAAGTAATTTTAATAATATTCATTATTTAACCCAATACCAAAATATTATCATTTCAACATGCAATCATTAGTAAACATAAATATTTTACATCATTTTTAGACTAAGTCCTCAAAACCCTATGTGCACTTCATGTTTACAGCACATCTCAAGTGTGTGGCCCCTGTGCATGACTGGCGGTCACTCAAAAAGCGCAGGTCTAGACTCAATCAATGCCTTAGACTGCAGCGCACTGTGCCTACCACTCCCAAAGTGCAAGCTGGCACCGTTCTATCTTTATGCACGTCTCAGGCTAGATCTTAATGGCATCACCAACTGTCTAGCCTCCCAGACTAAAAACTCTTACCATCAAACTGACAGCCACCACCAACTGAATCATTTACTTAGTGTCTCAGATTCTCTTTACAATCCTCCCCCAGTGAAGGCACTCACCGCCTTATCTAAACAACTGCCAATTCAGCTGATCCTCCATACAGTTGTCAAAGAGTCCACCCTAAAAAATAAATATCTTCATGGCCCCTCCTTGCACAAAACACTCACTGGCTTCCTGCTAACTGCTGAATATAACCTAGGTGTCTTGACTGGAAAGCAAGATGTTTCACAAGTGGATCTCAGCCTGCCTCTTGGCTTCACCTGTCACCCCCAACCATCTCAACCTGCCTCTTGGCTTCACCTGTCACCCCCCACCAACTCAACCTGTCTCTTGGCTTCACCTGTCTCCCACCCTGCCCCAAATGCTCAAGCACTGTCTGTTCTCCCACTCTCTCTAAGTTTGTACATTCCTGAAGCTGCTCCAAGCGCTGTGTTCCAGCACTGCACCCAGGAATGACCTCCTCCTTTAGAGCTCATGAAACTCTCCGTGATCCTAAGTGATCTAGTTCAAGTACTAACTCCTTGACAAAGCTTTTTCCTGTGCTCTCAAGCAGTTAGTTATTTTGTGTCACAAAGAGACACAAAGTATATTTGCTGAATGGATGCTGTGTGAACAGAGGAGGAAAAGTGACCACCTTTGTATCTCCAATACCCAGCACAGCGCTCAAGGCAACACAAATGGGTACGAAAGAAGGAATGAATCCTCATCATACCATGAATTCCTTCGGGGCACTGATTTGGACAGATACGAGTTCATCTCAAATAACCATCACGGTCATTCGCCCAATCAACAAGATCGGAGGTATTGATGACATCTAAAGGGAACGTGAGAAATCCTGGGGGAAATGAAAGCATCTGGAAGAGCCCGGGAGCTCCTTGAGTGGGAAGCCTCTTCTTGGTGAGTTCGAGGACAGGGTCAGTGGAGTAACCAAGAATTAGGGGACGGGCAAGGGGCAGCCTTGGTTCCCCTAGCCACAGGAGGCCTGACTCGCCATGCTGGAGCTAGTCTGACTCCTTGTTGTCTGACGAGCACATACACAGTACAAAGCAAGAATGAAGATCCTAGAATGAAAGATCGTGAAGAAAAGGAAAAAAAAGAATGAGGTCTTGGAAGCTGCAGTGTGATCAGAGCGGCAGGGGGCCGGGGGGCGAGGCATCGCTCCAGGCGCGAGCATGAGCATCTTAAGTTCCGGGCCTCGACGAGCCCAGAGAGCGTCTACTCTGGTGGGTGCTTGCAGCCTCGTGGTGTCTCCGCCCAAGACAACGGCGCCTCCGGGAACACTGTGAAAACAAGGCCAAGGGACCGGAGCGGCCGACGGGTCGAGCCCCAGCGCCGAGAAAGGAGGTGCAGAAGGGGCCAGAGGGGCGGCGGCACGCGGCGCGCCGCCCGGGACTGCAGCCCAGGCCCCGCGCCCTTCAGTCGAGCACTGCGCGGGGAGCCG